AAATCCCAAATGAATATACAGCCTTACCTTAGCTTTAATTTATAAGTCTGGAAAATACAGTCAGACCTTAGTTTACAAAAACAATTCTAGAACAGTCCTATGCACATGAATTGGGGGTGGCTGGAGGAGTATGTTGAGATTACTGCCCGTTATTTCCCATGTGAAGATGGAAGGACACTGACATTTACTGACTGCTTCCTCTGACAACACACTTTGCGTGTATCAACTCTAATGAGGTGTAGACATAATTATCTTCAACTTACAGATAAAGAAATTAAACCCTAGAGAGGTTCAGTAACTTGCTTATGGTTGTACAGCTTGTTAGTGGAGGATCCAGGATTCAAACCCAAGTCTCCTAGATTGCAGATTCCATGGACTTTACTAGACTGCCTGGCTTGAGTTGAGAACAACATGTAGGTGAATGACTCAGTCTAGATGAAATATGCTACAGGAAGAAAGAATCCAAGTGGTTTGCATGAGTAGCTGTTTTTGTGGCTATGTAGAGTATAGTGACCTAAACAGATAGGTAGGTGCCTTCTCATATGTATGTAGCCTGAAGCCTTCCTTTCATCAAGGGGAACTGTGGAGAAGATGTGATCCTGGTGTGAACTGGGAATGCTGTTCAAAATAGAGACAGTGTTTCAGTAGTTGATAGGTGGAGTTAGAAAAGTTGGTAAAATTGATACTACTCTTCAAATACAATATGGGTTAAATAGGCTTTTGTGAGGTGGCCTAAGAAATAGCACTTCTGAAACTATATGGGAAAATGCTTTGAGACATCTAAACAATTATCTTAAAAATTTGAACATTTGAAACAAAAATTACAATATTTGGTAAGGGGGGCTGCCTAGACATTACTTAACAGCTCTGTTCTGTAACTACAGCTTCTTAATTCATTACCTCTTTATATTTGCATTTTCCTTTTAGAAAAATCTATTTGATCCTCCCTCAGTGCCAGAAAACAAGATCTGACTCAACCTGAAAAGGTTACCAATTATAAGAAAAGTTATGCAATCATAGGTCTTTTTGTTTAGACTTTTAAACTGTTAGGTCAAATAGCCTTACTTCATTCTTTTTTTTTTTAATTGAGGTATAATTTACATACTATAAAATTCACCCTGGTAAAGTATAAAATTCAGCACTAATTCTAGAATATTTTCATCACCCCAAAAAGAAGCCATGCCCATTAGCAGTCACTTCCCATTCCTCCTTTCTCCCCCAGCCCCTAAACCCATTGCATCGAGTCAGTTCCGACTCATAGCAACCCTATAGGACAGAGTAGAACTGCCTGATAGAGTTTGAGCCCCCAGTCCTAAGTAACCACCAGTTTACTTTTTTGTCTCTAGACGTGCCTGTTCTGGACATTTCCTGTAAATGGAATCATACATTATGTGACCTTTGTGTCTGGCATCTTTCACTTAGCATAATGTTTTCAAGGTTCATCCATGTTGTAGCATGTATCAATACTTCAGTTCTGTTTATGGCTGAATAATATTCCATTGTATACTGCATTTTGTTTATCTGTGTATCAGTTAATGAACTTTTGGGTTGTTTCCACTTTGTGGCTGTTATCAATAATGTTGCTATGAACATTTGTGTACAAATTTTTTTGTAAACATAGGTTTTCAGTCTTCTTGGGTATATGCTTAGGAGTGGAATTACGAAGTCATATGGTAAGTCTATGTTTAATATTTTGAGGAGCTGCCAAACTGTTTTCCAACTTGGCTGGACCATTTTACATTAGTAAAAATAGGAATGAAAGGATGTTTTCTTAATATTATTAAAAAATAATCACTCTCAATAGCCAGCATCATGCTTAATGGGGCCATGTTATAGTCAGTCTCATTAAAACTATGTCTGCTATTTTTATCTCTATTTTACATTCTAGAAGAGATTACTAATGCAATTAGGTAAGAAAATCCAAGAGTATTGGAAAGAAACATAAACGGTTACTATTCATAGATGATATTGCCGTCTACTTAAAGACTTTAAGGAAATCCACTAAAAAGTCTTGTAAGGTGGTAGTTTACAAAATATATCCAGAAATCGATAAATAGCTTTCCTGTGTACCAGCCATAACCAGTTAAAAAATAAAATGGAAAGCAGCTCTCATTCAAAATAGCGATTAAAATATTCAATACCTGGAAATAAACACAAGTAAATGGAAGAGCCTAAATAAAGAAAATTACATAATTGCATTGAAGAATAATTTGAATAAATTGAAAGAAACGATATGGTTCTTTAATGTAATTTAGATTACTTTCAGCAGGAATTAAGGTTTGTGTTTTTTTCCTTTTTTCTTGTTTAAGAATTGAGGGTGACTTTTCCTTTTGTCTTGATTGAATATGCCTAGATTTTCAGTTTTTTATTTATTTAAGTTTCTCCAAATTAGTTTATACCTTATCTGAACAGTTAATACTAACATTTTAGTAAAAATGCTGTTATTAATAAAGTCTGTGCTTAAAACATATGCAGCTAAAATTAATCATGCAGCTATAATTATGAACTATAGTTTTGATCATATTTTCAGGAATAAACCTTGGTGGCTTTGCTACCAGGTTGATTACACACACAAAAAATTTTTTTTTAATTAGAGTGAGTAGTTTGGATAGTTTCTCCCCAAATTTATAAGTAAATTCAACTCAAAACTTCTTTAAAACACTTTGTGTTAAAATATAGTTGATACTTCACGAAATGAAATTGTGAATTCTGTTTAAATTTGAAGCTCTGGTTTATCGTATATTTGAGGACAGTCCTACTCTGTCTTGTTTTATTTACTTGCAAGCTGTTAATGCTGTCTTCTTTTTGTACATAGGTTGTCTATGATACTGTATATAAGTTTAACTCTTTTAAGTGATTGTTAATTAACAGTTACGTTATTGATAATGTATATTGGGTTCAGTTCAGCAAACATTTAAGCACCATTTGTTTTATAGATGAACTAACAGAGGTTTAGGTACTTTTTTGACAGTCACATAGCAAATAAAAGCTTGGGCTTTAAAGCCCAGCATCATGGTTTGGATAGAAGGGCGTCATTAAGCCTCTGGAAACCAGACTAAATCATTAAATTTGATCTTGAGGCTCCTAAATCAGCCAACCTAAGTAATGCATTAAAGAGTTATCTAGAACTCAGATTTTTAACCCTAGAAATGGAAGTGGTCCCACTAGAGCAAGGAACTCATCCACATCCCCCCAAATAGTAGTATTTGTCATTTCCCCTGAAGGAGATGAGCAGGAAGAAAGAGAAGTAGACATATACTGAATGCCCAATATGGCTAGGCATATTGAACCTTACCTCAGCTTCAGGTGTAACTGTTATCCAAATCTTAAGGATTAGAAAACTGATAATCACATTAAGTAACTTGCCCAAAGTCACGCCTATAATAAAGGGCAGTGCCAGGTTTAGAAACCTCATATATCAGGCCCTGAAGTCCATGATCTTTTCACTCTACTGTGGTTTCCCAGGCTTGTCTACTCACAGGAGTCATCTAAGGTACCTGTTTAAAAAAAAAAAAAATACTGAGCATAAGGCTTCTCCCCCTGAGAATTCTGGTTCTTTTGGGGTCTGGGGTAAGGCCAGGTAACTGATCTAGAACAGGAATCCTAGGTGATTCTGAGCATCAGGCAGGTTTGGGAAATCCTACCAATTCCATCATGCACTAAGAGCTGGGGTTTGAAGGTATTGAGTAGGCAGAGATAGGATTGTGAGTAGGGAGAAACGAGTTTAAAAAAAAGTTGTCACTTGCCTAGTTTTCTCTACTAGTAAAATAAGTGTAGTAAGAATGGATTGTGGAAATTAAAAATTGTTTTAGGTTCCTTAAGATGCACAGAAAAAAACAGTATTTTATTTATTTTTATTATAAATTTTCTTTTAGGCGACATTTGTGCAGTCGGTTCTTTGGCATTATCCTTGTTTACACTTGGGAATAAATGCACCACTAAAGGGTATAGATAAGAATGTATTTTGGATGCAGAAGAGATGGAACTAGACATAGAGATAACATAAAAACAGCTTTAAATATAGAATCAGTCATTTCCTCTGGTGTAATAACCCTACAAAATCTTAAACAACCTTAATCTAAAACTTTAATCCATAAAGTCGCAAGATTATAAAAATTTTGAGCTGGAAGAGATCTTAGATATCCACATAATTTATGGATGAAGAAACCAAGACTCAGAGAGGCTTAGACTTAGTGGCTTGCCTGCTGTTAGTGGCCAGCTTTCAGATCCCTGCTGGCCAAGTCTCCATTGAATGCTTATTGATTGCAGATAAGTACCAGGAAAAAGCGACTTGTCCAAGGTCATACTGGTTTTTAGGAATACACTTAGTGGCCAATTGTGTTTAATTTATTTTCCCTACTTTGTTTGTCTAATTTTATGGTTTCTTCCTTTTTTCATTGGCCTGTTGAGAATATGAATATATTTAAAGAAATTCCTTTTAGAAGATTATGCAGTTTGAAATATTATAGCTGATCAATGACATGTTAGAAAAATGAACCCTTACCTTCTTAGAATAGTATTTCACAAATGGACACTTTCAGAATATGTTGTGTTAAGGAAGAACTCTAGTTTTCTCTCCTTTTTGTTACAGAAAATTTATGAGTAGGGAAAAGTGAGTTTAGCTAGATACCTATACATGAATTCTAACAGGAATATAACAACATATCTATGTAGTAGTATGAGCTTTGAATTCAGAGTTGGGTCCAGTGATCATGTCTGCAGACTTTATAGCTGCATGATCTTGGATCAGTCATTGACTCTCAACCTAACTTTTTCTTCTCTACTATATATAACATGCCTCGTCGTTTTTTAATGATTAAGTGGGATTAAATGAGAGAATATGTGTAAAACCATTAGCAGTGTACTTTGAACAAAATACCCCATTGCCATCGAGTCAGTGCCCACTCACAGAAGCCCTATAGGACAGAGTAGAACTGCCCCATAGGATTTCCAAGGCTGTAAATCTTTTTTTACAGAAGCAGACTGCCACATCTTTCTCCTGTGGAGCAGCTCTTTGGTTCGAACCACAGACCTTTCAGTTAGCAGCCAAGCACTTAACCACAGTGCCACCAGGGCTCCTTTTGAACAAAATAGGCAGTGAATAAATGATAGCTGTTGTTATTATTGATTTCCTTGACCTAGTAGTTATTTAGAAGGATGTTAATTTCTGAGCGCAAGTACTTTATTTCCCTGTTCCATTTTTTAAAATTGTAATTAAAAGTATGATCTGTATGATACTTGCTTTTAAGAATTTTAGGTTTACTTTACAGACTAGAAAGTGGTCAGTTTTTATAACATTTCATAGATACTTGAACAGAACCCATACTCCTTTTTACATTACAAAATTCAATATCTACCTAGTATTCATTCTAATAGAAATTGCTTCAAATGTTTTGTCTTTTGTTCATTGTACTGGTTGATATTAGCGTGCTGAAATTTCCCTTTCCATTTATTTCATTTTATAGTCCCCAAAGCATCTGTTTTTGTGTTTAGTAGTTAAGTTAGTCTGTGGTTAAATGTTCAATACTGTTATGCATTTACTATTTTTAATGACTTTTCTGTTTGAAAAAATAATACACGCCAACTGCAGAAAATCTGAAAAATAGAGAAGCATACACAGAAGGAAATGAACATCTATACTCTTACTATGAAATAACACTATTAAAAGATTTTTATGTGATTTAAGAGTATGGGTTTTAGAAGCAGATTTAGGTTTGAATTTGGGCTCTGCTACTTACTATCCTCGAGCAGAATATTAGACTTTCTCATTTATTCAACAAATATTTATTGAACTCCTACTGTGTGCTGGGCATTTTGCTGGAGACTGAGAGAGACAGTGCTTAACAAGATTGACATACCCATCTTGGCTTAATTTCCTCATTTGTAAATTAGTGATAATGCCTTGTGAAGTTGTTAGAAGCATCAAATATGGTTGATAGTGCTCCACGTATTAAAAGCTCAGTTTTTTAATTGGCTTAAGGTTTTTGCCTTGCATTTTATTTTCGGCATTAATGTTACCCACTCTTGCTTTCTTTTTCTTTATGCTTTTCTATACCTGTTTTGTTTGGGTTTTTCATTAAAGCAGTACATCATTATATTTTAATTTTTTAATATAATGTAAGACTTTTAAAGTTTTTATTTTTATTATCGAACATTTCAAACACATAGCAGAATAGAAAGAGTAAGTAGTGTAAGTAACCATATTCCCATAACCCAGCCTCAGTGATTATTAACTCATGGCCAGTCTTGTTTCATCTATACTCCCTGCCACCCCACACACATACACCACCCCTGCTAGGCGCCAGTGGATTATTTCAAAGCTAATCCTAGTTACGTCAATTCAGATATAAATGTTTGACTTTATATTTCTTAAAAGATAAAGATTTTTAAAACACGTAGCCACCATACCATCATCACTCACAAAAACATCAATAATTCTGTAATACTGTCAAATATCCAGTAAGACACTTCCTTTTAATTAGACAATTTAAACTTTACATTTTTACATTGTTAAACTTTTGGAATGATTTCTATCATCTTACTTTAAACTTTTTATTCTTTCTTCCCCCCCGCCTTCTGCTATATGGGTTGTTTTGTTTGAGGAGGTTGTAAAATTTAGAATTATGGAGCTAGAAAGACCTGGGTTTGAATCCTGGTTCTGCCATTCACTAATTAACTTTGCTGAGCCTTGATTTCCTCATCTGTAAAACAAGGGTAATTATATCTACCTCATGTTCTCAGAGTTGAGTGTGAATTTATAGATAAAGTGTAATGTGTTATTGACAGTCTCTGCCAATTATTATCTTCTCTTGTGATACTTACTGTAATAAAGATCTCTTCTTGGTTATTGTATGGTTTTTCAGAACATCCCAAAATTTGTATTTATTGGATAATTGCTAAAAATAATGGTTTTTAAATATCCTTTTAGGGAAGACAGAATTTAGAATCCTCGCTTCTCCCTTCTTCAACTACCTCTTTTGAGTCCACATTAATTTAGCCTGAGGTCACAAATCTTACCTTTAACTTTTAAAGTGTCTTTTCTATTATTTATATATTTATATCAGTTATTCCTCAATATTGACTGTTTTTCCTTTAGTGAACTTAATTATTTTGTTCAGCTATTTCTAGATATTAAGTTGATGTCGGTATACTTTACCAGTTCTTTCCTACCACAATATTCTTGAGCTTTTATTTTGATTCTCTTATGGTGGTATAGGGTATACCTTTGAACAATTTATGGAAAAGGATACTACCAGGATGGTGATATTTTATAAGACTGCAGATCTGATTTCCTGTGACCTTTGTATATGAAAAACTAGGATGAGGTATAAAATTCTTAGATTGTAACTTTTCCCTTTCAACTCTCTGTAAGTCATTACTTCATTGTCTTCTGGCATTTTATTGTTACAGAAGAGAAATCTGAGGTCAATCTGATTTTAGTTACTTTGAAAATAACCTATTTTTTTCTGCTTGTATGCTTGTAGGATTATATCTTTATCCTTGAAATTTAAAAACATTTGCCAGGACATATCTTGGTGTTGATGAGCTCACCTTCTCAGTCTCCAGTCTCAGGTATTTTTTTTTTCAGAACTGGAAAGTTTTCTCTTATACTTTTGATTGATTAAATTGCCTTTTTCCCTCCCTTTAGGAACATCTGTTATTCATAGATTATTTCTACGTCTGTCCTCCATAGTTTTTTAATCTTCTCTCTCTTTTTTTTTCATTTACTCAAGTTTGTCCTCTGTGGCATGGATTCCATTTTCTGCTGTGTCGATTCTAATACCTACTAGTCACAATGCAGACTTAATTTTGGCTACTGTGTTTTCATTTCTTTATTCTTATCTCAACATACTCTTGTTTCATAAGCAGAATTTCCCTTAGGGGTACACTCCAAAAAACATGAGGTGGATTCAGGCCTAAAACTTAATCTGTTTTCTCAGGCCACAACCACAGGACCAGGGGACGAAAAAAAGCTTCTGAAAGGGTCCTCTTTAAGCTTAAAATGTAGCTGTAACTAGAGGTCATTCCTACCCTAGCCCAGAAAATAGCTTGGGTACTAGCAGGGCTTTAGTAGCTAGAGGAATAGTAAAGGAGGTGTAAGGGCGCCTTAACTAGAAATAAACTGACTTTTCTAATTACATTTATTGTTTATTTCTTTATATAACTAACACATAATAAATGCATATGATTTTGAAAATACAGTACAAAGAAGAAAACCCTATGACCCAGGTAACTACTGATAAGATTTTATATGCACACATGTTGGGGGAGGGTTTGCAAAATTGGGGTCATACTATATAGTTTTGTATCATTTTAATTTAATATATCACAAGCATATCTTTGCATCATTAATTTTTCTTTGAGGCCCTGATTTTTAACCATTGCATAGTGTTCCTACATATGAATAGATGTATTTTGATTTATTTAACCAGTCCCCATTGGTCATTTAGATTGTTTTCTATTTTTCAGTATAATGAGTATGATGACTATCACTGTACATAAGTCTTTATGCACATCTCTGATATTTCCTTAGGATAAATGAGGAGCTGATTCTTAATCCTGTCACATTGGTAAGGATCATATACATTCCTTATTAAGAATATAAAATGCTTGTTTCTGATTGTTTCAATGTGATTGCATAGAAGAGTCTTTGGATTCTGAACAATTTGATGGTATCCTAACTGAAGTTTGAGAGAGAGGTTTCTAATGCCTTACACTCAGCACCTTCATGGAACTACTAGTGCATAAGTTTGAGCAGGAAAACCACTGTTTATACAGGGAGTTTGAAGGCAGATATACTTGCGGAAACTTGAGGGTGGCTAAAAAAAAGTGTGGCTCTTGTTCCGTCCTACAACCTGGGTCTCCAAATTGTAATACACTAGGGCTTTGGACCCTGTTTTCTCCTCCTTCCTTCCTAGTTAATTCAGACTGTTATTCTCTGTGAGGAATTCTCTTTTTTGTTTACAATGTTCATATGTAAATTTCATTTCTAATTAGGAGAGTGTCAGTAGAGCATATGTCGTACTAAGTATAAGGTAGCATTTTATCAGTCACAGATAATTTTAGCCCTAGTATACTTGCACATGATGATCTACTGGATTCAAAACATTTTTTAAACTTACTTTATATTTTCTTCAGCTGTATCAGACAGCAGCCTGGAAACGTGCCTTATTGCAGCATGCCATTACAACGAAACAATCTGTTTAATAGGGTTGCTTAAAATGAAATTATTTTAAATCATTAACATGTTCTTATTTTCAACATTTCCAGTTTTCCTTGAAAATGTGGAAATACTCTAGAGGTCCTGAAACCTTGGTTCAAAATTAGTCATTTGAATTGTTCTTCCTCTTTAATGATCCTAAGTGCTCATTTTATTTAACAGCATTGAAAGTGGTTTTGAAAACAACTCCTGCTGAGACTCAAGCTCTTTAACAATCTCTTTGATCTGATTTGTTCTGATGAGACCCATATTGTAGGTTATTCTCATTTGTGACTTTTTACACATTTCAGACTAACAAAGCGTGATTAGCATCTCCTAACCTTTTCTAGTATTTCACATCCCATTTGCATATGTACAATCTGCCAAGCTCTGTAGTTTTTTGGCTGGAAGGCATTATGGTGGGATGAGAGAGGATAAATACATTTGCCTCACTTTTAAACCAATTTTTTTGTCCATACTCATTCTTAGCCACATTGTGGAAGAATACATCACACATATGAATGATCTCTTCCACCCTGCTTGGCTGGAAATTGGCTGTAGTACGTGATGAAACAGCTATCTCAACACTCTCCTAATACTTCTTCATTGCATTGGATGTTTAGAAATTATCTGTAAAAATGTAAATGTTACACAGTCTGTTGAGGCAAAAGAGGGGACGAGAAGTAACATTTACTGAGCATCTACTATCCCTTGGTGAATCCTTTTTAATTACAACATCCCCGTGAGGTAGGTATTATATACATCTTACAAACAAAGAAACTGAGGAGCAACACATTAAGTAACTTACCCAATTTCAGGTAACTACACCAGTAAGTGACAGAGCTGGGGCTTAAACCCACTACTGGCCAGCTCCAGAGCACATTCTTTCCTACTTGTTTCTTAAAATTAGAGAAATGTGTTTTCTTGTTTAACAGGTACTATTCCTTGAACTTCTGGAACTATAGAAAGTGCCTGTTGAGTCAGATTGATGGTCCATGTAACCTTAATCTCTAATGAAATTTAGGGTCATTTTTCAAAAGGGAAATTTCTTAACTGTAGAAGTAACTTTATGCTAATATCTAATAGAGACCATTTGAGTCCTTGTTTTGATGAAATGATATAAAAGGTTTGTTGAAGTAAAGGTGCTTTGGGGGGATAATTTTTTTTTGGGGGGGATAATTTTTACAAAGCTTCACTGGTATATAGGATAACATTGACTTTCATATTTTCCTGCTTTACAAATTAAGTTGTTCAAAATGTTATAAATCTTTGCTAAACTCAGAAAGGAAGTATTTTTGTAAAAAGTAGCACTTACAATACCTTTCAGATCATGTTTCCCTTCATTTTTTTTTCTTAGATTGCTTGATTGCTGCTATATACTGTTAGTTAGCTGGGTGAGGAGTTCAGAAAAGAGAGTATATTGTAAAATTTATAGGTGACATGAAGCTGAAAATAATGAAAAGGCTAATTGACACATTTGGAATCGCATCTATACAGACCGTAGGAATGGGTCAGAGCTGGAAAAAAAAAAATCAAAAATTTTAAATAAGGCTTTACTCTTGGGACTAAGAGTAGTAGCAAGTACAGGATAGAGGATGCCTGGCTTACTTGCAGTGTAAGTAAAGAAGACAAGGATTTCATCAGAAAACTTAGTATGAGTCAGCAGTGTATCGTAGGCATTCCAAAAATCATGCATATGCAAACTGCATTAGTAAAATTTTATTATCTAGGGAAAGAAGGGTGATCTGGCTTTTATTCTGCAGTGGTCAGGACACAGTTGGAATGTTAATTGCATACAATTATGTATTATCCCCCTTAAGAAAAAAAGAATAGTGACAGGTGCCATCTGTCGTAATGTTTGAAGGAACTTGCGTTATCTAGAAAAGACTTGGAGTGATTGATGGTCATAGATGTAAATTTACTTCCTTTTACTTTGCAGGTAGAGTACAAGCAAGTTAGTCAGCATATATTAGTATCCTTTCAGGGGAATTTGTGGTTGGGGAAAGTTACTATATAATGAAGAATTTTACCTAGCAGACAGTGCTTTTTCTGAGATAGTGTAGTTGGCTGCCTGGTTGAGGTAGTGCATTCTTGTCTTGAAAATGTTCAAATGTGGGTGAGGATAAAGTGGAAAGAATTGAAGTATATGATGTGTAGTTGTAAGTGAAGACTTTCAAGATCCCTTACCAGTCCTAATTTTTTGTTTTATTCTAACATCAAAAGGACTTTACGGAGTATTCTTTTATTCTCATGAAGCTGCCTCACCGTGGTAATTTGCATTGGTACAGGTCTTTACAGTTTATAAAGTGCTTTCTTATGAGCTATCTCATTTTTGAGCCTAACAATAACACTTTGTGGTAGGCAGGTCAAGTATCCCCCATTTTAAACAGATAAAGTAATAGACTAAGAAATTCTGAATTGTCTAAAATCACAAAGCTTGTAAGTGGCAGACCTTGGATTCTACCCCTGGTCTCCCAACTCTTAAGTTCAATGCTGTTTCTACTGTGCTAGTTTGCTTTAAAGGTTATAAGTTGTGATATTTGCTTTGCATACATTGAAAGTCACAAGGAGCAGCAGCAGATGGTTCCCATGGAAAATGTTTAAGTGTAGCTTAAGTTAGACCAAAGTTTCTAAAGCCGTGGAGCCATTAAGCAGATCTGTGTTATAGAAAGGTAACTGCTTACAATTAATGAGAAAATCTAGCTTGGGCTACTAGATGAATGATGGTGTACATACAGGAGAAGTAGCAGATTGGTGGGCCAGAGATGGGGTGATTGGATTTTGGACGTAATAAAAGTAGCTAACATTGATCGAGTGCTTTACTAAATACCAGGCACTGTGGTTGGTGTTTTTTATCGTTTATCTCATTTAATCTGCACAGCAACTCTGAAGATAAGACTTTTAACCCCCATAAGAAGAAACTAAAGCTTAGATAGTTGTAATAATTTGTCCAAGGCGTTACAATTTGTAGCCAGTAGTGTAAAAGCAGGAACTTGAATCTAATGGTCTGATTCCAAAGCCAGTTGTTTTGAGAGCTACTTTGAGGTTTCTCTGGGACATTTGGATAAAAAAATGATTAGTAGTCAGTTGAATAAAATGGTTGTGGCTTTTAGGAGAGGGATATATCCTGGAGATAATTTGGGTGTCATCACCATGTAAGTGGGTGATATTGTAGCCTCTGAAAGTGTCTTGAGGAAACTATAGATTTTATACCTGCATCCCCCTTACCCGCATCTGGCACTTATTTCCGTGCTTTGTAGTATAGTATAGGCATTCCCTTTCCTAGGAACATCTACGAGTGGGTGAAAATGAAAGGTGCCCTTCGTATAAGTCACTAGACTACAAGATCCTCTAGGATGTGGGGGCTGAGGGGGCCATGTTTTCTTTATCTCTTATCTACAAGTCAGTACCTAGAACATAGTATGTATGAAATGAAATGGATGGATGAATGGATGGGTAAACTACGCAATGCGAGAGTAGAGTTCAAATTGAGAGTAGCTGCCTTACCTTGGGTATAGTGAGATAGGTGGGCTGCCTTTTATTTCTTAGTTGTTAAGACTCCAAAGATGATTAGTTTAGATCCTTGTACACTTGTTAAATTAACAAGTGCTAAGAACATTTATTCCTTTTTCCTGTGAGGGAACTACAGAAGCCACTTTATGTTCCTGACTTCTGATTATCTTTTTTTAATTACACTAGTAATACATATTCATTGTAGACACATTAGAAAATTCAGATAAACAAAAACAAACAAACTTTCAATCGTCTAAAATTCTACCACCCAGAGATAGCCACTGTAAACATTTTGGTGTTTATCCTTACAGAGTTTTTCCCATACAAATATATACATTAAAACATATGTATATATTTATTTAAAATGGGATCATTACAATCCATATTGTTTTGTAAACTGCTTTTTCATTTTTTACATGTAACTGTCTCTCCATGTCAATAAATTTACATCTTTATTGTCATTTTTAATGACTGCATAGTATTCCGTTATATGGATGTACCATAATATATTTAATAGTTTTCTACTATTAAGAATTTAGGTTTCCAATTTGGAGTTACTTTTGAAAAAGTTGTGGTGAGCATTCTTATATGTACATCTTTATACACGTGTCCATTTTTTTAAAGAACTAAGTGGATAGGCCATTTCCAAGTTTTATGTGTCTTTTTTTTTTTTAAATACAGACTCAGATTGCATTCCAGAAATTTTGTCCTGATTTACTCTTTCACCAGCAATGTATCCAGAGTGCTCATTGCCCCATACCCACATTAACACTGGGTGTTATGTTTTTTGTAAATAATTACCAGTTTGAAAGGTTAAATGCATCGTTTTTATTAGTACTAAGGCTGAACTCTTTTTTCACTTATTGTTCATTTCTGTTGAGGTGCATTGTTTTTTCTTAACAGATTTGTAAAAACAAAGCTCTTTATATATTGAGGATATCAGCCCTTTGTCGTGTTATTTTTTTTTTATATAATCAGTTTGTCTTTTATCTTTTTTGTGTCTGGCAGAAGAAGTTTTAAACTTTTAAAGATTCAAATGCCACTTTTTTCTTTATGATTTCCATCCTCCTTACCCCATGAGTATTATTTACCTGTATTTATGTATTTTTAATACTTGTATAATTTTTTTAAACATTTAAATTTTAATCCATCTGGAAATTAGAGATCTAGCTTAATTTTCTCCCCAAATAATTAATCAGTTGCCCTGATTAATTATCAATGGAGTTGGAATTTAGAATGTGTTTTGCTACAGAAAGTGTTGTAAATGATGGTTTGGTGAGGTTTTCATAAGAGTATTTGTAATGCATTTGACTATTCAAATAAACTCATGGGCTTACCTGGTAAGGCAATCATCATTTATTACATTATTTCCATGGAAAAAATGCTTTTATAGTTTCAAATAATTAATTAACAGATTACTTTTGGAAGCACAACCTGTTGTAAATTGGCAACTGCATCCTTGTATGGTGGTTCTACTTCATTAGAGCCCTGTAGGAGTGAAAATATTCCTTGATGATTTTTTTTGTCTGCCTTCCTTTAACTTACTGATATGAGATCTGTTTTGGTAACTTTTTACTTGCTGTGCTTTTCACAGAATGGACAGCAAATTATGGATGAACCTATGGGAGAGGAAGAGATTAATCTACAAACTGTGAGTAAAATATTGTGTTGTAAGGGGTACAGATAAATCATATACCATTATATTGAAGTATTCTTATTTTTAAACTGAGCAAAGTAACAATTTATGGTATTAGAAATGTGTTGAAGCTTAAACATTAATTTTACCAAAATATATTCCTGAATATGCCAGTGACCTTTTAAGGCTGATTTTAAGAGAATGACAAATTGCTTTATATTGTTGAAAATTTTTCATAAGTACCTTAAAGCTTATTTTTTTAAAAAATCAAACTTACCATAGATTTAATTATGAAGAAAAAAAATAAAAATTATGCTTTACAGAAATATTTAACATAGAAAATGAACATTCACCATTTCCTTGTCTGTTTTTTTCTTCACCCCTTAATCCCCAGCACCTAGAACAATGCCCGGCACATCATAACATTCATTAAATATTACTTGAATTAATGAATTTTCCCACCCACCCCAAGATAACCATTGTCAGCAGCTCAGTTATAGTCTTCTTTTTATTCTGTACATAAGACAATTATTATTTATACTTGCAAAAATATATATTTTGCAACTTGCTCTGTTCACTTATCATGTCTTGAACATCTTTATAGCTATACCTTTTTTTAATGGTTGCATAGTTTTCTCTTTTATGAATGTTCTATATTTAATATGATTTTTCCCTATTTATTTTTGTAAACTTATGTTTCAGTAGGATATACACTTTAAAAATGAAGTACTGGAATAAAGGATAGGGGTGTTTAAATCTCGATAGACATTACCAAATTGCCCTCCAAAAAAATTGTAAAAATTTCAGTGTATGATAGTGCCTGTTCTGCCTTACACTGGTCAACACTAGATATTATGAGAAATTATTTTTTTATGTAAGCCACTCTAAATAATGTTTTCTCCTTTCAGTTGATATTTTATTAGTCAAGTTAAGTAGCCCTACATTCTTGGCTTTTGTGTTTCATGTGTTTGCCCAATTTTCTTTGGGGTTGCTTGTTATCTCCTTATTGGTTTCTAATATCTCTGTATATTAACTTCAGTGTGTATTAGATATCTTGTAAATATTTTCTCCCCCTTATTTTTTTTAAAAACATTGATTATGTTGTCTTTCATTGCTTATGTACAGAAGTTTTAATTTGTAAATGGTCAAATCTCTTTTTTTACTCTTTGACTTCTGGGTTCCATGTTTTGGTTAGAAAATTCTTTCCTGCAACAAAGTTATAAAAATAGCCTCTTACATTTTGGCCTAATGCTTTTATGATTTTGTTTGTATTTTTTTATTGTTGTAGTTTAAATGAAGTTTACATTTCAAGTTAGTCTCCCATATAAAAATTTATACATATATTGTCATGTGACACTAATTGCTCTCCCTATACTGTGACAGCACATTCCTCCTTTCCACCCCTGATCCCCCATGTCCATTCAACCAGCTCCTAACCCTCTCTGCCTTCCCATCTCACCTCCGGACAGAAGCTGCCCGTTTAGTCTCTTGTATCTACTTGAGCTAAGGGGCACACTCCTCACGAGTATTACTTTATGTCCCACAATCCAGTCCAATCCCTGTCTGAAGAGTTGGCCTCGGAAATTGTTTTAGTTCTGCACTGATAG